TTCTTTGATGTCTACCGCGTTCCCTTGGCGATATGTATACATGTAAACATACATGTTTATTGTTTATTGATTAGTTGATATACAAAATGACAAACACTCATTTTTGTGTTATTGCCTTGTACCTGTACACCTGTGCACCACTCTCCCTCTCTCTTTCTCCCTCTCTCTTTCTCCCTCTCTCTGTCTCTCTGTCTCTCCCTCCCTCCCTTTAGAGAGGTCACTGGCTCCCAATCGTTACGTATCATTGATATTAAAGTTAGTAAGCTTCATTGTGAGATTTCTTATAAGAAAAGACGAGAAGTTTTTGTTGTTAAAGACTGCGGCAGTCAAAATGGCACCTACATCAATGACAGCAGACTCAGTCAGGTAACCATTGGGCCCACACTACCTGTCCTTAATACATGTACAGTGTAGCCTCTTTATTAAGGACACCATTGGGCCCACACTACCTGTCCTTAATACATGTACAGTGTAGCCTCTTTATTAAGGACACCATTGGGCCCACACTACCTGTCCTTAATACATGTACAGTGTAGCCTCTTTATTAAGGACACCATTGGGCCCACACTACCTGTCCTTAATACAGAGGTGTCCTCATTTCAGAGGTACTTTTGTATAGGCTTGTACCAATTGGGACATTATAAAGGTGCCCTCATTATATCCTATATTCATTGTTGTGATTCCATTGCTGCTGCCTAACTCATTCAATTTGATTTGTCTCATGGTTCAATTAAAGTTAATTCATTTATTTTGTCTAAATGAACCCACTAACAGTGACCTTTAGCACACACACACACTCATTACCAGCTGGTCCTAACATTATTAACTTAGTTTTCCCTCCCCCTCTCTCTCCCATTGTTTGATATGTCTCCTGCAGCCTCATACACTGTATTCTTCTCTGGTATGTCTACTTGTATTACTATATATAGCCAAAGCATAGACCATCATTAAATATAAATTGGATCTAATGAGCTGTAAACACCCACTCTGCCTCCTTAAATTAATAGATGTACTTGTCTATACTTGGCATGCTGTTGCTAGTTTGAACTTTAATTTTGATGACATATTCTCTGCCAATCCTCCTCCACTATTATTCCTACTCCTCACAGCGGCCGCCACAGGGTTGATTGTCTAGACTGGAGGTATTTGTACCCTAAGGCATGTCTCTGAGCGTGTGTCCTCTTTGTGAGGAGGAGAGAGGGAGGGGAGGGGGAGACATGTTTGTAGTATGTTTGGTTCTTTGACTGACAGTCTTCAAACAGTGGAGCAGCTGCCATTAGCTCTACCTGTGGTCTTGTCCATTCATTAGACCCAAGGCCTTACGTACACTGGACTGGTCAATACCAGCTCATAACATCATGAAGAGACGACCGCAATATAATACCCGTAGTGTAATAGGGAATATGTCATTTTTAATGTTAGTACATTATTAATGTATTAATGAGGTATAGTAATTGTTGTAGCAGCTGGTACATAGGGGTAGTTCTGGTTCGCTCTACTGTAGTTTCATATTATAAGAGAATGATCTAGAACAATGTGTAACGTGGACAATGTAACTTGAGGTCTCTTTAATAATGATCATAAGATGAGGAGGTGTTCTCCTCGCTTTGTGTTTCAAGCTAATGGCGGCCTCCTATGGAGTGATTGATACATTAGCAGCTGTTTATTTTTTTTTCTTAATTTTTTGTGTCTTTATTTACCACAAGCCTGTCTGAGACTGTCTGTATTTCCTCCGTCTCCCTCTCTCTCTCTCTCTCTCTCTGTTTATCTCTTCATATGTTTTGTATAGTCTTTATTGTTATGACTTGAACTTAGACACAATGATGTAACCAATCCTAACCTTACATGAACAAAAGTATCTGTACATCTTCTTTGATATAATTACAGTCAGTATAGTCTCTCTTAATGGACACTCTCCCTGTAACGTACACCTCCATTTAATACACAGCACCTAGTTGTATGTACCCCAGGGCTCCCCACAAAGCATGCTAAGTGAGCTAAACAGCATGAGCTTCATGAGCTGACAAGCACTACAATACAGTACATGGCATTTGGAGTAGCTTTTAAAATTCATTAAAAAATCCAAATTTGATTAGAATCAGCTCAAACTTTCTGCACAACATAAGAACATGTATATGTATCAGGAAATGTAATAAAAATGTAGAATTCTCTCCTTTTCATTTTTGGCAAAATTTGACCAAAGACCCAAGGCTATAGCCCATGGTTTTTTCCAAAAATTGGCTCCGAAATCACCCCAAAATTTTATTACATTTTCTGATACATATTGATGTCCTTATGCTGTGTAAAAAGTTTGAGCTGATTCCGACTTCAGTTTTTCAAGTTACGGCCATTTTAAGAAAACTCCAAAAATCTGAAAAATACCCAAGGCTATAGACCATGGTTTTTTCCAAAAAATGGCTCCAAAATCACCCCAAATTTTTATTACATTTTCTG